TGATCCTTGGAGCTGGAAACACTGGTTTAACAACTGTATGAAAATAAACCTCAACAATTTGTAACGCTTGCACATAAGATAATGCTGCAAATGTTGTTTGATTACATTACTAGAAGACTCTTAGAGCATCAATCTTTATCCATCCACAGAGAACACAAGTGCAAAACATGAGCACTTGCTTGGCAAAACTGAGAGGCAATCCCTTTGGTGCTTCACAGCCAGCAATTCCCCCCCTCCACATCAGCTCATAATTGAAAGTTACAGAAAACACTGGCATCATACTGGTCAATATTTTTAGCTTAGGTGAAGAAATACTCCTTTAAAAGGGACCAATATTCTCTTAAAGATGACCAAGTACTAGATTCTCCCTGGAGAATAAAAATAAAAAAAAAAATTTTGAGTTTTACATTTGCTGCATAATGGATCTTTGCCTAATTCTCACAGCAGCTGTAGTGGTGTCAGCAGAAAGAGAACACCATTTCATACGTCATTTTCTTGAACAATATAAATACTATCAAGGAAGCCAAGTACTGGACGTAAGTTTCCAGAAAGCATTAGTTTCTGTTTCAGTTAAATCCTTACATGAAATAGCTATATGAGGTCTGCAGTAACAAAGCTACTCTAAGAGCTGCCAAACTCAGAAAGATTACATATGAAGATAAAGCTAGCAAGCAAAGGATGAACATTGTGAATGTAGAAATATGCACACAGGATTTTGTCATTTGACAACAAACCTTTTCTACTTAATCAGTACATGCTATTTTGCAAAATAGGCTTCCAAATCTTATCCATTGTTTTCTCTGTAGCTATTCCTTCCTTCAAAGTAGCTATGGACATTTGGAAGCTCTTTGAAGCTCCACAGAAAAATCTTGCAGGTTTCAACTCTCTTGCACCAGGATGAGATGGGGTAGATTCTTGCACAACTACAATTAGCAGCTAGAACTCCTGACACAGTTTCAGCACACGTACATACAAACCTTCCCTACAACTTTTTAAGGAAGCCAACATTCATCAGTGCAATTACTTTTGGGGCTGCGTGTGCTACTTCTTCAAACATTTCACCTTTTTTTCAAATCTTCTCCCTGAAAGGACACTGCTGACTGACAAAACTCATGTTTTGCAGCACAGTTAAGTTGGAACCAGAAAAAACTAAGGCTATTGTAATTCTCCATGCAAGCTTTTTTACTACAAAATGTATTTGTGTATTCATTCCTTCCTTGCTGTATATAAACCAGCAGCAAGTCAACTTGTCTATTAAAGAGTGTTTCTGACTTGGAAAAGATTAAACCTCTGAGATGTTTCTCAACCAAGACCAGGTCCATGCCTTCTGTTGAGCTAATAGTAATAGTAAAAGACTGCCTATATCATCCACTCTGACACACACAACTGCCTTCTAACAAGATTTCAGAGTGAGCCAGGTAGCCTAAAACCATTGTACAAAATACCACAAGAATTTACAATTCATTTGGAGAAGTCTTTAAGGGAAAACACACAGAAGTAAGACCACAGTATTTTCACTCCTATTGACACTGAAAGGCTGTGATAAATACTTGATATTGACTTCAGACACCATCCCAGACTTTGGAAGAAGTACAAACAATACTTATCCTGCAGTGATAAACTAGGGAACAACCAAGGCTCCTTACTCCCAGCTTTACAAGAATACCCTAAGTATAAAAGTTCTCAAGGTTCGTTTTTATTCTTGTATTACAGGATTAAAACTTGTAATACAAGTCTTAAAACTAGAATGGAAAGTAGTCATAAAAATATTGGAGGAAATCCAGTTTGAAGAACCACAAGCATGGAACCACCTGGATCCAGCTGTAATTGCAATCAAGCTCTACAAATATTCAAGTTAAAAAATACTCTTTTTAAAAAGCACATTGTGTAAGCAACTTCTAGTGCTAACTGCTTACCTCATTAAAGCATAATTTATTCTATTGATGTTGAAGGTAAACTCCTCAAAACAACTGCACAGACATAAATGGAGACTGTGGACATTTCAGGATAAGTCCTCAGACAGAAAACTGTCTCCAGACAGGTCACCTGATTTGTTCTGTCTTGCTTTGAAATAATACAAAAAAAATTGTTAGATATCAATATCCAAAGGTAAGGCACACCAACCTCCTAGTAATAAGTGATCTATTTCCTAAGTTCTAATTTAACATTGGTAATAGGTTCTGCAGCTGACTTCATCTTCTAGAGCAAATTAACCAACAGCTCTGCCTAAAAATTTCAGACAGTAAAAATTCAAACAAAAAAACCCCAAAACCCACAAACCAACCCCATCCACCCCACCTTATATACTCACCAATGGATTAAAATACAAATTCTTTTGCAAGGTGTTTTCTTTGTGCTAGACTAGAGCCATAATAGAACTTTTTAATAGAGCCATAGAACTACTAGCTACCTTCACGGCTCTCATTTTTTTGTGCAATTAAACAAAAAGCTGACTCACATCAGTTTTACTCCATCTCAGGTCCTACAGTTCATAAATGGTAAAATATCAACACATTAAGGTATCTAGTTGCCAGACACAAACCACATTTACCCATTTTTACCACTAAAACATTCTGAGAATTACAACAATGGCTTTCTGAGAAGTGAAACATGTGGGATTGATCACTACTAATAACCAACTGGGCACACAATCAACTTTATGCCTGTAAGAATTAAATACTTAGATTGCAATTGGATTTCCTGTATTCAAAAAATCTAAAGTTATGGCTCCTACACTTCTTGCTAAATTCTACTACACACTGTTCTGAGATGTCTAAACTTTTACTTCAGAAAAGTTTTTACAGTTGTAGTAAACACTGACAAACAAGGTGACTAGCACTTAACAACAGCCAAGTTATCTCCCCATGATACCTTTCCCACCCTGCTTATCTTATCAGCATCTGAGAAATACTGTTGTAATTCAGATACTTCCAACTGGAAAAGTATAGACCAAGAAATGCTGAACAATGCTATGTTCAGTGAAAACAATGAAGTTACTCAACTAAAATAAACTAGTCAGCAAAGGCTAGATTAGAAAAGAAGTGAGGATAGTGGAGAGGATTTCACTGAAATATAAATACTTACCTACGTTTAAAATTGTGATCTTGAGAAACTCTTGCTCAACTGCCTTGCCAAAGGCGCTTCCCTTGTTTGAACTGAGAAGTTCCCAAGTTGTCTAGAGTTGCATCTTTGAACATGCCCAGAGGCATTTTAGTCCTGACAGAAATGAGCAACTTGGCATCTGGAGCATAACCAAGTTCAACCAGTAAAGAGAAACCAGGCGTTCTTCCACCCTGGACAACTCAGAGGGTAGTTTTTAACTAAACTAGAAGCATGAATTGAAAAGTTTCCATTCATTGACTTTCTCACCCACTCCTACACATACAAGTTATCTCAGGAAGAAACTAAAGCACAACAAACACAGAATATTCAGATCTCCTACATGCCAGTGAAGGGGACCACTAGATTACAGCTGTCATGCTGGAAGAATAAGACTGAGGCTCAAACCTTCCTGTCTGAGAATTCATACCATTCAAGCATCTCTGGAGAGCACTGTAATTTCCAGCTAAATTATCCCATAAGCTTCACCCAGTTTTCTTCCCCTTCCAATAGTGCCAATTCACCAGTTCAGAGCTCAAGACTAATCTAGAAGATGATTTGGGGGTCAGTCACCTACCTGCTCCAGAGACTGTTCATCTTAACTCAGTATCTATTTTAATCTAACCCTCAACAGCTATTTAAAAGGAAGATAGAACTTACTTAGTTCTCAATCAGAATAGAGCACTTACCTTCAAAAGGTGATCCTGAAAGGGAAAAAAGCCTCTTACAGTTCTGATGAGGTCTGAGATTTTTACAGTAGTCCCTGTCGTCAGAACTTTCGCATTGCCTAACCCTTGTAAGATCATTACAAGTTGCATGTTAAGTGTACGAACATTAGGTGGCTTCCTGTTAAGTGCACACACTGGTTTGGATCCTGTTCTGAACTAACTCTCCCCAGGCAAAGTCTTAGACACTTACTTTTCAGGTTATTCAAATTAGTTCTAATAAAAAGATGCAAGTATAATAATTTAAATTCAATATCCATCTTGCTGCACAGCAGACACTTAATTTCTAGTTATTTGTTTCTGATTTAACAAATTTAAAGTATATATTCTATACTTATATAAAATACATAATGAATGTGAGGAATTCTGTTGAAATTTCACTTCGGCATTACCTAAGCTTGACTTTAGATAAAATGCCCCACTACAGTATCCTATAAATAGGCAATATATGCATTAGTCACACATCATACCCTTCCTTTTAGTTAAAGTACTATACCATAAAACATTAAGAAAAACTCAGTTCAATTTTCAGTGAAATGATAATGTTGCTGATTAAATCAAGCAAACAGTAAAAGCTGAAAAAAAAAAAAAAATACGTCCTAGACATCAATCAAGCACTTCAGCCAAGAAAAGTGTGGCATGGATTACTGTGATTGTGGTAGCACATCTAAATGTCAACTTCGGGCAAAGCACCAATGTGGAACACAGAATATAAACATAAAAACTGTCCCCAATTACAATATTTTATTTAGCTCAACCTCTAAGCAGTCAAGTGTTGCATTAACACTGCACTGTAGTCAATAAATCCCTATCAATCTGGCAATGACTTCATATCTAGAATGACATTAAGCATAATTCACAACACTTTAAGTATCACATATTGTTGATACGCTTTCACATTAGTCATTTATTACCAAATTTTGAATACCTAGCAATTAATCCTTATATACCGTATACTGGCATACATACCATGAATAAGCCTAGGACCCTAAGGTAATGGATCATATCACTGAATGCAATTGCAGATTTTTAAGGTGTCAACCAAAAACGTGTTTATCCTGTTTCAGGTTAAATACACTGACAGGTGCAAGAGGCATGAGCTTTAGAAGTCATCATAGAAACGTTCCCTAGTGTAACAGTTAAAAAAAAAAAAAATCACCAGAACACTTATTTGGATTATTGTGGATTCATGTTCTTACTGATCTTCTCAATGTGGCTCAGCAGTTTTAACAGTGCAGATGGATTATATGGGAAAAGACTTCTTCTCTGCAATCTAGAAATAGCTTTTTGCAGTTCTTCCAAACACTTTGTTGATTTGTAAAGCATTATTCTTAGGGGAATGATGTTATCTGAAGATATCATACAAGTCAAACAGGATGAGGTATTGGATCCCTTTTGTTTCAGAGGCAACACTTCAGACATGAGTGTATTCTGTTTATCATCTGTGTAGCTGCAACCAGTTTCCCTTATCCTTGCCTCACCCTCATTATTTAAAGGTACCTGCTTTGCATTTACCAAGCACTCTTTTCCATCTGATTCTAATTCAGAGTCTTCTGAGCTGTCATAATTAACAAGACTTTGAAGAGAACCCAGCAGAGATGTACTATCAGGGTATATCAATGAGTTAGACTGGTTAGTCTCTGCAACTTTATTATCACCTTGCTCTCTTGTAAACACTAAGTAACTGTGAGGAGAAGCCAAAGGTATCAGAGTCTGTGGTTTTGGTTCACAACAAGCATTTTGCAAACTCTCGTCAGTCATACAGCTTTGTTTTTCTTGATGGGGTGGCTTGACAGAAGAAATTGGTTGAAAGGTGCCATGTTTAGTATCAAAATGGTTACAGACATCGACAAATTGATGCCAGTCTTTACTAAGAAGCTTTAAGTACCTTACCAAGTACTCTAGAAAGCAAGTTTCTGATGAAATCAAAAAATCTAGAAGTACTGTGGAATCAAATGCGATTTTTTCTAGGAAAAATAAAAAGATGCAGTGAGGATTATATCCACTTGCATGTGTAAGGAAGTTCCAGGTCTCCTCCTCTTTTTGGCTTAAGTTACCAGCAGCATCATGCCGTAACCTGCAAAGTAAGTTATGAAATGGATTAAAACAACGGAATTTTACAGTTTGTTTTGTTTTTGTTTTTTTTTTTAAAAAAAACCTATGTCCAGAAAATGCTATTCTTGGGTCTTTTTTGATTTTGGCAATAAAAAACTAAAAAAGAAGTTTTTACATTAGAATGAGAAAGAATGGAGGCAGGTGGGGCTAGGAGATTGGACAGTTTAGGAAGCCACACAGGCCTTCTTAAACAGCACTCCTTAGGAAACGTTCTGGAACAAACAAAGTTACTTAAAACGCAAGAATTATTATTTTAATAATATTTTTGTAAACCAGAACATAGATTAACTTTCACTAATGCTAAGCACATTGGAAAAGTGGCCTACTTTTATTTAGGTATCTAAGAAGAATTGTGTGCCTCTCAGATACTATTTGCAATATCTTCACCTTTGAAGCTTGAAGGACCATTTATAAACAAGGATAAAATCTTGTATGGTAATTTAAACAAAAATGAAGTAGTGACTGTCCAGGACAAATTCATGAAGAACACATCTCAGTTGTTAGCACTAACAGTTTTTATCAACTAGCTAGAATTAGCATGGGTCCAATCCTTAGAGGGCTACTTTGCCTCAAGTGCCTGAATTCTTGGAAGTTTAATTATAATATCCCATTCTTGTCAAACTCTGTGTTGAAAGAAAACACTCTTGCCTTTTATCTGTGTCTAACCACTATTTTAGATTGTGAAGTCAATTATTCTGAATTATAGGATATGATAAAGTATTTAATAGGAAACTCTTGCACAACTCCCCCATTTCAATCCAAAAAACACTTAATCAAATTATCAGCAAAGTTAACTGCTCTTACACCACATATTATTACATTGTCCTGAGGTTGGTTTTTGTTTTAATTATTAAAATATTTTTTCTTTATACAAAAGTAATCAATGAAAATTTTATGTATATCACAATAACCTCACTAAATTACAATTCTTCATAGTTCTGTCAAATAAAATGTACACTAACCTATCAAATTTTAAATAAATTAGTAATAAAGTGTTAGCAGCTTCCCACATGTCATCATCTTGCTCTATGAAAATCAAGGAGAGCCATTCACAGTGATGTACAACTTGGTGAGACTGTGGCAAGGACTTCAGATGACTCCTCCAGAATATCAACAGCTGGGACATGGAACTCTGAAAGTCTCCTGAAAAAAATAAATAACCATGAATTTTGCTATACATTTTTTGTTACTAAACAACATACACTTTTTATTTTTTAAATTAACAGTGCATAACAGTTCATGAATGCTTTTACCATTCCTTAGCTCAACTGATTTAACAGAGCATCAAAGTTTACAGATTAGTTCTTGCTTCTTGGTACCAAAGAAATCAAGAAATATTTTGCGGAAAACCATAAGCAGTTATCTAACCTTAAATTCAACATGAATGGCTGCTCTATTAAACTCCAAACATGCCAACGTTCAGATGCCAATGTTAACAATTATAAATAACCTCCAGAAAATTAATTTACTCATTAGGTACCATCCCCCCACCCAAAGACAGATAAAACTTAAGGACATAATTTATTAATTTAATAGCATTCTTCATTTCACTGGAGTTCAGGGAAGAATAATCAGAGGTCACCTAGAAAGTCCTGGGTACAACAGGGTGAATCCTCTCACACCTAAGCTTGCAGGCTAATGAACAAGATTACACCTCCAAAAATTGCCATATATCAGGAAACCTACAAAAATGTGACTTTCAAAAAAACCTACAAAAATACCTACACAGCTGGTATTTATACTTTCCTTTAGCTCCCCAATGAGGTAGCTTCGTTGGTACATCACAAACTAAAGAAAGGTGAACTGTAATCAAGTCAATTCCACAGATATAGCAATCCAATTCATACCGTTTGCTGAAATTTCATCTCAGGTAATTCTTTCCATATGAAATATTAATACAACTGTAATGTTTTGATAGGACTGAAGCACCCCCCTTCACCCCCCCTCAGTGTGATTCATTGTAGAAATTAACTGCAGTGATCTATAGCTGATGGGAATAAATTGTCATTTCTACAGTAAAACAGAGTATGAAGCCTGTAGGGTAACCACATTCTTTACAAAATAAATTCTTCATGGATGACGTACGTTTTTAAGTATATACAGGCTTGGGACAAAGGTACCTTCATGAGATGGTCTAAAATCCTTGCTGGAAGGATTAATGTAAGCAGCATTTTTCCTGCAAATCTTCATTTTTCCCCTCCCTCTAAACACTGCACTCCTGAATGGGAAAAACACCTCAAAATTTATGTCATTTTAGTGCAGAAGCTTACTCATAAAAATAACTTTGTATTCATGTGACAGACAAAAAAAAAGTCAAGAAACTTAGGTCTTCAATACTGACGTCATACTATAGTATGTACTATGTACACGTACTATCATAGAATAGTTTGGGTGGGAAGGGACCTTTCAAGGCCATCTAGTCCAACCTCCCTGCAATGAGCAGGGACATCTTCAATCAGACCAGGCTGCTCAGAGCCCCGTCCAACCCAACCTGGAACATTTCCAGGAATGGGGCATCTGCCACCTCTCTGGGCAACCTGGGCCAGTGTTTCACCATCCTCATTGTGAAAAATTTCTTCCACATCCTACGTATTTCCTTCCACACACTATTTAGTATGTACTATGTAGTATGGTACTAGGTAGCAGTTTTTCGTGTAACACAGCATACATTCAATGTTTAGAAAAAAAAAAAATATATAGTGACATACATCCTTACCCCAAAGGTGCTCCTTAAGAACTCTAATGCTGCTGGAAGTACACTATAGCTTGAAGAGCACAATTGCATCATTTATATAAACAGTGATTACCGCTTTTGAAAAATTTCCTGCAACATGGGGATCAGTTTTACTTACCACATCATTATGTGGTTTTCCTTAATATTTGACTTTGAGATTTGCTTTTCCTCTTAGCAAATAACAGGAACAACAAATTATCTTTGTTATTAATAGTTACTATTCTTCCCTATAAATCAAAGCTATCTGGAAATTACTCTCAAAATCAAAATGACTTCAAGTTAAGCCACTGTAATTCATGTTAATAAAAAAAAAAAAAGGAGTAAGATCAACCAGCTTCCTGGAAGAGAATTTAGCATATTAAAGCATTTTGGTGCTTGTTTTAATCACTTAATTTAATGTTACTAAAATAGAAGCAACATTCCTTTCAACTTGAAATTCCTCTTGACAGTTGGGGTATTTGAATCTAATTAAAGAACTCATTTTTGTGTCATGAATCTGGAAAACAAAAGAATTTTTTTTCTTTGAAAAATAATTTTCATAGAGACATCTAAAATATATTTAACCTACATTTTTTCTATTCACTGGTTCTTAGACCATCTCAGTCTCTATACATTTTTCAGAAGGTGGATCACAAGTAATATATTCTCTATAAATACTTACAAAACTCTAAGAATGCAACTGGCATCACAAATACAACATCTACCAAAATCTGAAAAAAGTGTCAGAAGCTGTCTTACAGCAGTCCATACCTCTTTTGCACAGTCAATTAAAAATTGATCTTATGCTTGTTACAGAACGTAAAAAGTGAAATAACATTTACATCTAGAACTTGTATTAAAATGCCTCAGTATATTTAAAATGCTGTAAACTGTCATCCTGGTTTAAAAAGAAAAATTCTTTTTTACTTTTTGCCACACCATCAATTGGCTGACAATAAGGAACACCCACTCTCACTTGTATTTGACTGGAAACACTGCTTCAGAACCACCTTTCCATTTTTGCTGTGAAGCCTGTAATCCAGGGACAGCAAGCTGCTTTGATCACAGCATTTGCACATCCACGTTCACATGGCTTAGCATCAGAAGATGTGCATCATGTGCCTCTCGGAGGTAAAAAGGCAAGCTGGAAGATGGGATCCCAGGAGTGTCGCTCAGGCAAAAAGCCTCACCCCGCCACTTCATTACAGCATAGGAGAAGACTACTAACTGGCTACCAGCGTGACACAGCAATGTGTCCTCTCCTGTCAGGAATGCAAGTTACACAGCATTGCCTTGCCATGCCACTGCCTGCCTTGCGGCATAGCCCTAGCACAAGAGCCAGATCTGCTCTTCTATTAACCTAATTCATCTGTTCAGTAGAACAAACATACTCAAGCAAGCCAGTATGAAAAGTATGCTTCACACGTACTAATTAAAAGGACTAGACCTATAAGTCAGGGTGAAGAACGCAACCACTATACTCTGCCAAGTTCCGTAATTTTCTTGTCTCTTACTTTATAGCTTCATAATTTTTACCTTTTCTACCACTGCTGGTTTTGCCCCAATATATTATTTGTCTGACAATAATACCTAGTACCTTCAACCAAGATAAGTACATAATGGTACTTAAGTTCTACCTCCACATTAAAAAACAGGAGAGTGTTACCTGCAGTTCCTTTTAGCTCCCCACCCTGAGTAGAACAGATGCTTGTGCTATGAGCTCTCTCCTTTTCCAACTGAAGAAGAGCCTAGTGTTCCCAAACTGGCTCAATTATTTCAAGTATTAACACATGTTCTTAACAGGAAAAGTTTTCAATCCCAAATGCAGCTGTTTCAAGCCTGCCATATTGCAGGACTAAGGACAGGGTAAAGCACAAGGATTCAACTAATTAGGCAGGACAGAGTGATAGCAGGTTTCCTAGGTGGGTCTTCTCTTTGCTCCCTCCCATCACCACTAATTCAGCTGAATTCTATTTACAGTCTCAATGAGCTGTGACAACAAAACCTGACACCTTTAAAACTCTTGCTGCTTAATGAACAGAACAAAAGAGACTATTACCTTTGATTTCAGCTTCTGTAGCAGAGTTCTGAAACTTCAATTCCAGTGCTTTAAGCACAACCAGACTTAAGGCTCTGAGAACAGTTTGGTCAGAACCACCTTGAGTATCACCTCCAGGAGCAGCTTCACCGCCTCCAAAGTAGCTGGCCTTTTCACTGAGCGGGATCCCATTAAGCCACGTCAAATTCACAACCCGCAGAACAGCATTACTGAATGCAAGCATATCCTCATGTAAAGATGGGTTTTGTAAAAACAGCGATCCACTTTTAGCATCTTCTCTAGACTTGTAAAGGACACATTTTTTAAGGAGCATAATGAACTTCTTCTTGATTAAGTAGTGAATTGAGGAGCTAACCAGGTTCAGGACATAAGAAACTTTCAAAAACAATACTCTCTGGCATCTGAGCGGTGGTTCTACTTCAATTCTGGAAGCCAAAAGTGCTTCAAGCAGATCTATAAAACTGATCAAATTGTTTGCAGCTTCAGAATAAGGTGAAGTATAGCAGTGACTGTCAAAGTGATGGAAAAGAACAGAATTATAAAATCCTTCAAGCACAGCATCAAGAGGAGCCAACAACTTCTCCAAAATACCTACAGCAACAAGAACAACATTATGGAGTTGGAATGTAACACAGTCAGCTAAATCACCAAATAAACAGAAAACAGGTGACTGTGACTATTTTCAAGTTTTAATCATGTTTAAACCACTACATTTTTAATAGTACTTTGCCACCCTTTTTATAATGAAGAAAATAGGTGTTCTTTAGCTAAGCTGCTCCAGATGGGATCACAAGTAACATTCCTCCCCCTAGTGGGCACTCCTCTACCAGTAAAATCATAAAATTGCTACAGTACCTGCTTTGGGTAAAACTTTATCTTTCAGTATGTCCTTGATAATAGTAGTAAGAGTCCACAGGCATTCTGCTACCTGGGTATTCACAGGGAATCCTGAAAGAGTCTTCAAACTAAAGGTGAGCCAGGTGACATTTAATGCGTTCTAAAAAAATTAGTTCAAAAAACAATCAGGTATGCTTTACAATTGCTATGCAAATTAAATTAAAACACAATACAATGACTGAAAACCGTACATTAAGAAGATTCAAATGCAGATATAGATAAAACACAGGTAGAAACAATCTCTCTGTCCAGTGCCTTTTAAGTACATAGGCCTCTATTTACAAACATGAAGTCACATATGCATACAATAGAAATTATCTATATTTTCCAGAAAGGGAAAACCAACCTCATAATGTCATGTGACCTACCCAAAATCAGGTAATACTGTAGACAGACCATATCTGAATTCATAATTCCCAGACAACTTCGAAAGAAATATTACAAACATATTTCTGAGAGAAATCTATGTTCAGAGACACTACTATGGAGGCTACAACATATATTCACCAAATATACAGCAAGTAAAAAAAACCCCAACCGTCAGGTAATTGGAATATTCAAACAAGAAAAATACAAAAAAGTATTTGATTAACTTTCAATGGGTTATTACTTATTTTTATCTAGTTCATCACCTAAGAGATCTCAAGCAACTGTAAAAAACATTGATAGTGTAGATTATTGTTTTTTTGAAATTCCTGTATTGCAACCTTGAAGAGAATATTTCTTGTCATCTAGACACATTTTACCTTCAAATTTTTGTAAAATTCCAATTTTTAAATATGTAAAGACATTTTGCCTCACGTTCCAAAATTCTAGAACACATCTGATTGCCTACCTTTCTATACTCCATCCTCCTCCTAACTCACTTGAAATACTCTCTTGGAATATTTGTTACATGTCTTTCCTATCCATCACTTACAACCCGAAGGCCCTTAAGGTACACTTTATAGGAGAACTATCACAGAGTATTATCTTGTATAACTTTTACGCTGTTCCTGACACTGGAGTTACACACACTTCCACAAAAACCGTGTGGCATTCTGAGGGGACCAACAGAGTCTGTCTGCTGAGCATCAGCAGATGTGCCTTTCAGAAAGCTGGAGCAGAGCAGACATGCAGGCAACAGATGGAGGAAAGGAGCAGTTCTGCTGTTACTCTGTGGGTCTACTTACAAAAGGCACCTCTTTAGAAGTACTTTTAGATTTTACAGTAGTCATACAGTGACTGCTTTTATGCCACATAAGCACTATAAAAACTTGGCTCTAGAGTGAAATGGAACAACTTGAAGGCACATATTCACTAAGTCATTTTTTTAAGCTGTGAAAAATTATGCCATACTCACCTCTTCCTTCAGCTGGAAATACACAAGCGATGCTAAACTTTTTGAAGCCATGTGAGATAACAGCTGATCATAACTACCGACCAAACAAATCTGCAGACATGTAGAAAGAAAAAATACCTAAGGCATGTTCCTTTTTTTTCCCCCGTCCTTTCACAAAAATCTTTCAGAAGTTTATCAAAGCTTACCAATTTTGAGTCAATTTTTGCTTCCTTCAGAAGGAGGACAAAGATTTCACAGTACTTCTGTCTCATACTGAATTCAATTTCCTGGGACTCTGCTTTAGCAACCATCATCTTGATCAAGGTTAACTGAAGCAGCATCACTTCTCGTGGACAGAATGAGGAGTTCATGTTTGCAAAGCTATTTGATATATCGTCTGTTGCAGGGACAACCACATCGGATATATCAGTGTCCTGATGTCTCCTAATACCACCATTACTAGGTGGCAGATCCATCCAATTACATGATTCAACTCTTTCTGGTGACTGCTCAACACAAAGATTAAGTAAAGAGGTATAATGATGGCTTTCCTTTGCTAGTGGAATGCCTACCAGTACATCCTTATACATCTGCTGCAGAAGGGAGATCTTCATTATGAGAACATTCGATATTCCAGAAAGTGCTGTATGTCTTCATTGATTATTCATGGTCACTGCAAGTCAGCTTCAAAGTTATTTTTATCCAGTAAGAGAAACAGAAGCACTATTAGGCATTTCTCTTCTAAGTTACCTAGAAATAAATATTTTACTATTACTGAACGGGTAATTAGAAAGATACAAAACAACACCACACATTTTTAGAGTTAATACTACCATCATTAAACTTATTTTGAAAATACAAATTCACTATTTAAAAACAGCAAGAGTGATAGCTACACGAAGCTGTCCCAGAGAGACACTAAAATGATACAAGAATTACCATGCCGTGAAGAAGTTTACAGTTCCAATATTATACTACTGACACCAACGTTAATTTGCTGGAACTAACAAAACCAAAGATTACTATTACTAGGGACTACTTCTGACAGGAAGGAGAACTTGGATCAAATCTTTCTCTACGTTGCTAAAACTACTAAAATCTCCTTTGTTTTGTGGCAGATTCCTCCAAAAACAAGCACAAAGTTTCAACTGCAAATTTTTATCTGAACTGGCAATGTTTATTGCTTCAGTAAGGCTGGATATAGCAACACTTCTCAAAAAAAAAAAAAAAAGGCAACCAAAGGACAAGTCTTCTGCTGCACATAGGTTCAAGGTGAGTAGCGTGAGTATACAGGAGGGGAGAACTGGGCTCTTAATCTAGTAAGGAGGACCAAATTCCTTTACATCTACATGTGCAGAATTCTCATCCTGAGCACCTACATCTTGAAACCCAAAGCAAGTTTTCAGATAATGCAAAGGACCAACAATGCCACAGGGTTGGTCTCAAGGGTCTCGTTACTGAGAAGTCAAAAATTAAAAAATACTTAAAAAACAAAGTATAAAACTTATTAAAAGCCAATAAAAATACTTAACCATATTCAGGAAAGGTATAAAAAAAATCTTTATCACTATGTCAATAGAACACATCTTTAAATCACAACACTGGAACATTCACTATAGCTCAAAAACAAGAGCTATAAAGAATTCAAATATCTCTTTAAAGTGTGAGCACCTAAGAACCCACAATTTTCTAACCATTGGCTAGACAGATAGTGCATCTCCCCAGAAAACAAAAAAGATATACTTAAGAACATCAGGGTTTCTTTTTCACCTATATTAAGAGTGATGCTAGCCTGTAATATTTATCTCTCTAGGACAGTTTTAACATGTTCTCTCACCAGACCTCTTTTATTAAAAAATAAAATAAAAAAAAAAACACCCACAAAGCAAACTCATTACTTTTATCTACTGCAAAGTTAGGAGTGGGACCTATGTTGTTTATATGAATTTTCTTTTTGCATGCCTTTTGGATCCCTGTCTTTATATCTGGCATAATCAACCAGGTAGACTCCTGAAGCCATCTGTCTCTAGTCAGCTTTTATTTAAATGTTAGATTTCCCCTTTCTTACCAGTGGAAGAAAACAGCTCAGTCTTCCAACTGGTAAGAAATTCTAAAGATCTTCCCATATATGTATCAATTACACCTGCATTTATCATCACACCAAATATTTTAAATTATTATTGCTTTTTAGCAGAATATTAGAAAACAATAAAACTATAAAATTCAGTACGAGGCATCTTTTGGGTTTGTTTATAATCTTCACAAGTTTATAAAACCCTATCAAACATTGAGAATTACACCTTCATTTTTACAATTTGATTTTTTAACTGCAACTGAAGTATGGATTGACACAATGGCTTCCCAAAGGTACAAAGGATTAGGGGTAGACCAAGATATGCTACCCAAACTCCTCACTTCTTCCACCATCAGGCAGCACCTTCTTCAGAAAAGAATCTAAAATTAGAGAATATGAAGTTGCCTGCAGGGTGTGATTTACAATTCAGTCTGGTGTGGTTTAAAGACATGTCCAGTAATGGCTGACCTGTCAACTCCAAAATGTTATAGTATGTTCCTCACCTAATGCTTACCTGACAGAAATAAGAACGTTTCCCCCATCCCTTCCTATATTCCACATTTTAGATGTTAAGAATAAATCTGATACTTCAGACAATAAATTCCTTCCTTGTTTGCAGATTCTATTTGGAATTCTACTTGAGGTGGAAATTTCTGACCTGAAACTTTGTAACTGTTCTTAAGAAATCACTCTGAATACTTTACGTAGCTATTGTTCCTATCTTTGAGTTTTATTTCTTCCTAGATGAATACCTAATCAAGTAAACTTATCTCAACACATTTACTTCCATGTTCAAGATCAACTTGAATCATCATCCTACGCGGTAAATGAACAGATCGCTGATCCACAAATTCATATGATACAGGAAGGTTGTTAAGGGAGAAGAGGTTTAGAACTCTTCTAGGACATGCACTATGAGATTGTACCTTCACCGCGTGATATTGGTTGCGCTTTCTCTGGTCCTACCACAATACATTTACTATTAATTACCATTAATTTCCAGAACACTTTACAAAAAGTAAAAATCTGTAAGATACATCTCACACATGACAACAGTTCATGAATAGAAATCATTAACGGAAATGAAGTGTGAGGGGGCTTATTTCAAAGAAATTTACTTCAAAGAGGCGGAAAACGTCAGACAATGACCAAATTTGTTTCAGACATAGTCAGAGAGCACAGTGAAAAGCTCAATGCTGAAGAGTAAAGTGATCATATTCATACACAAGAAATGACAAACTCCAACCCTCACTTGTATTATTCATTAGAATTATTCATGACAGCATCTAAAAACCAATTAAGGTAATGCCTCACAGTGCCAGACTCCTGCATAAACAACAGGAAACAGTTCTAAAAACCTTATGTATAGACTGATCAGGCAAAAGACAGAAAGGAAAACTATACAGAAAAAAACAAATAAACATTTTGTTATACTTTATTTTCATGACTACTGTAGTTAGGCTTTAAAATCAAAACCAAAGTCATGTGGAGTTGCAAACTGAGAGAAGAAACTTGGTGGAAAAGGAAATGAAGAACAGGAGATGAAAACTCAGATGGCAGCTAAAGCCTGTAAGTTTTAAGGACCATCATAAATCAAGCAAGTGAAGTTTAAGTGGTTGCAAACACTTCCAGAATATCCTAAACCAGTTATAAACTACGTCTGTTTCTACAAGGTGGGATACTTAATTCAGAACAAAGTTGCAGAAAGCATTGACTTGACTGGACTAATGTTGTTGATAACACTTTTACTTTTATTTACTAACACAAATGGCTTATTCTGACACATAATTACTCCGAGATATTAGTGAAGAGGCGTGACTAGAGAAAGCTATTGTCAAGTCCCTGTAGGGGACACACTATTAAATGTTAATTGCATGCGTAGCAACTGGGAGAAAACAAACTCTCCAAAAAAACCCTATTTTCATTAAAAAATTGAATCAGATAAAGCAAAATGAAACAACAGTCCGCGATTTTTGGGTATCCTGAAGGCTCTGCATCTCCTTACACTGCAATGGTTGAATCATTTAAGAAATAAAATATAATTCGGACTATTGGTACCTGTAATGACTTCGTAGGCTCATCTCTCAATAAAGAATATGCTTCCGCTCAGAGCTGAAATACTGTAAACGCCTCTAAAATAATGTAATTTCTTTCCAGAAGTTGCAAATAACCTCTGCTGCGAGCTGTCCAATCCCTGCCTGTTAACCGTGGCACCTCAGCATGCCAGATGCGTTATCTGCTCTTCTGCGAGCACCTGCAGCCACCAGAGGCAGGACTAGACGGACCCGATCCGACCTCACCGGCCCCTTACCCTACCTCTCACACCGGCCTCTCAGAAGTGCCAGCGCTGGGTTATTGCTAGTTAGACCGCGCTAAAAGCCACACTCCAGCCTGGCAGGGAAGGGAGGTGAGAGCACGGACGTATCATCATTGCCCCAAAAGAGCCGGGGCGCAGAGCCCCGCGCCGCCCGCCCGGCCTGCGGG